CCCATTTTATCTCTAAAAGCGGTATTTATGAGAAAACAATAAATTACTGCTACACGAAACAACATGGACAAAACTCAAAATCATGCTGAGTGAAAGAAGCCAGATATGAAACTGTACATACTGTATGATTCTATCTATATGAGGTTTAAGAACAGTCAAAAATTGTGCTAACAGAAATCAGAATGGTGGTTGCCTCTTACCAGGGAGTTTGGCTAAAGTAGGGCAAGATGAGACCCTTTAAGGGTATTGGTAACATTCTCTGTCTTGATTTGTCAAAAACAATCAAATTAAGACCCATGTATTTTATTCTGTGTAAATTATATTCCAATAAATGTAAAAAAGAGGAAGGAAATGATATATAAATGGGGACATATTTACACAGATAATTTCTGAAAGAATATATAATAAAGGTGTCAGTGGTTGCCTTTGGAAAGTGGATTAGAAGACCAGGAATGGAAAGGAGACCCTACTGATGGTAGAAGAGATGAGCCTTCACTATTAAGCTCCTTGTTCTGATAAAACTGGCAGGTAGACCTAATGGGTAGAGGCAATGGAGAAGGCCAAGATGTCAGGTTAAAAGGTTCCCCTGGGCCTCACCCCCCAGACCCACCAAATCAGAATGCCCACATGCCCAAGAGTCTACATTTCTTTTCCTTTTAAAAGACCTTTAGTTATGAACATTTTCAATTACACACAATGTTAGACAGAAGAATCCAGCAAGTAACAGCAATCAGATTCAATGATTCAGCAATTGTCCACATTTGGCCATATCTGCCTCATTTCTTTCCCTCTCTTCATTTAACTGAGCCATTTAAAAGTGAACTTTCTCCCATGAGTGTACAGTGAAATTTCCCAGAGGCTACAGGACACATGATACTGCAACAGATTGAATGTTGAACCAAGTATGACAGTACAAGAATTCATCTGTCTTTTGTTCAGCCATAGATTAAAGACATATCAAAAATGTTTCAAAAAAAGAATTTGTTGCTACCATGATGCCTCATCTCTAAATATTTCAGCATGCATCTCCAAAAACTAAAAGTCTTCTACATTAGCTATCTATCTATTGCTACATAACAAATTACCCCAAAATATAGCAGCAGGAAACAAATGTCTTATCTCACTGTGTCTGTGTCAGGAATTTAGGAGTGGCTTAGTTGGGTACCTCCACTCTAGGTCTCTCATAAGGCTGTAACCATCTCAAGACTCAATGGAAGGGGGGTCTGCAAGAGCTCTGCTTCCAAGCTTACTTCCACCATTGATGGGTTCCTCAGGGGTTGTTGGACCTCAGGACCTCGCCACACCAGACAGACCTTTCTGTAAGGCTGCTCACTATATGGTAGCTCCCTTCTTCTATGCTCATGATCCAAGAAAAAAACATACCCAAAGCAGAGGCCCAAATCCCTTTTTCCCCTCATCTCATCACTGCTGCTGTACGGTACCCATCAGAAGCGAAACACTAGGTCCAAGCCCAAACTCACAGGGAGAGAATTACACAAAGTTGTAGCTGCCAGGATAAAGATCACTGCGTCCATTTGAGGGGCTGCTAACCACACCACAGATTCTCACATCTCATCAAGGCAACAATGGTCTTCTTGTATCATCTAATACCCCATCACATCAAAATGTTTCCAAATATCCCTAAAGTCTCTATTAATACCTTTGTTCAGGCCAGGATCTAATTAAGGTCCATAAACTATATTTGGCTATTCTGTCTTTCGAGCTTTATTTGATGGAGAATACTGCACCTCCCTTTTTTTTTTAGAGATGGGGTCTCACACTGGCACAGGCTGGTCTTGAACCTCTGAGTTCAGGGCAATCCACCAGCCTCAGCCTCCCAGAGTGCTAGGATTACAGGCATGAGCCACCATGCCTGGCCTTTTTTTTTTTTTTTTTTTTTGAGACAGTCTCACTTTGTTGCTCTGGGGTTGGATGCCAGGGCATCATCACAGCTCACAGCAACCCCAAACTCCTAGGTTCAAGTGATCCTCTTGCCTCAGCCTCCCAAGTAGCTGGGACTATAGGCGCTCACCATGACACCCAACTAGTTTTCCTATTTTTTTTAGTAGAGACAGAGTCTTACTCTTGCTCAGGCTGCTCTCGAACTCCTGAGCTCAAGCAATCCACCCTTCTCAGCCTCCCAGAAAGCTAGGATTACAGGCATGAGCTACCGTGCCCAGCTTTCTGTACCTCCCTTTTTAAAATTTTCTTTCCTGATAACTGACTTGTTGGAGAGACAAGGCCAGATCACTCACTGAGAATGCCAACCCATGCTGAGGCACACAGGAGTTTGAGAGTCCTTCCCTGGGACGGCTGGGTAGGGATAAAGGACAGCATGAGAACAGCTGCTTCCAGTTCTTTCTCACTGAAAGTGAAGCCTTCCCCAGGAGGGCTTTCCTAAGCCCTCCCAGGACCAATTTTGAAGGGGCCAGGAAGGGGAAGATGGTGAGAAGGAGAGAGACAGGGAGGGAGGGAAAGCACTGATGGCAAAGGAATATGGGGAGGAACATACCAAGGTCCCAGGCCTGGGGAACAAGGAAATGTTTTCTAGCCATTCTAAACATCCCACCTACCCATACACACACCATAAACCTGTCCCGCACCTTGCAACACCACTGCCACAACCAGTTCACGTCTCTCAGGAGTTTCCCAGTTTGCACACCCTCTTACATCCATCTGGTCCTCCCAAAAAGCCAAGGAAGCAGGACCAACAAGCACAGTCGGCCTCATGTGACAGATCTGGCAACATCTCTGAGAGATGAAGTGATGCAGCCACAGTTACTCTCCCCAGTGTCGCAGCCAGATCTTTACGTGCAAGTACTGAAACTTAGAGCGTGTGACCATCACTGCCCTGAGAGAGTGGCCCTGTCTCGGTCCTGCAGGCAGTTTGTGTATGCCTCCTTCTAGCTGCATGGTCATTGCCACCATCTTGCCCTCATCACATTAGGTGCCTCAGCCAGACATTATCTCATTTCATCCTCACATCACCTCTGAGTAGACACTGTTATTCCCACTCTTACAGACAAGGAAATGGACTCTCAGCTGCCAGGTCTATCCCAGGACCAAAGATAGTAAAACATACAGTGATATTGTCCGGGTCTGCTCAGCACCAATCCCAGCAGGTTTCAGCACATGTTCATCTAGTGGTTTTTTTCCCCCTCTTTCTCTGACACTCTTTTCTGCCAAGCCAGCTTCCCAGCTACACACAGCATATAAACAGCACCCTACCCTTGATGACGGAGGCTATTTTGGGAAACCCACAGTATGCAAAGGCCTTCACACTGGATTTTCCAATATATATGACACTGTGAAAGGGGATCAGATTTCTGATCAAGAGCTCGGGATCAAACAAATCACAGCAAAATGAATTTTAGAATGTTGGAGCCAGAAGAACATTTAGAGACCATCTAAATCAGGTTCTCAAACAGGCACAATGGAGCCCTCGGGGGATATTTGGTAATGTCTGGCACCACTTTTGGTTGCTAAAACTGGTAGAGGGGAGGGATTTGCTACTAGCATTCAGTGGGTGGAAGCCAGAGATTCTGATAAACATGCTACAGTAACACACAGGACAGCCCACAGCAAAGAATTATCTGGTCCCAAAAGCCAATAGGCTGAGGTTGAGAAACCCTGCCCTAAATCCCTTTGTTACTTTGAGGATGAGAAAGCTGAGGCCCAAAGACACACAGTAACTTGCCCAAGGATACACAGTTACAAAGGCAGAAGGGGAATTCATGTCTCTATTATATCTGCCTCTATCATCTGCTTTGGTCTGTCTAGGTTAGGACTGGAAAAGAAGGGAGGGTGGGGTCCTGGGGAATCTTAATTCTTGTAACCAATTTGAATCAAAGGAAGAAAATTACAATAAATTACTGAACTACTACAGCAACAACACACCAGGGTATTTCAAATTCTGAAAGAAATGCCTTCTTCAATAATCAATGAAAATAGCATTGCTTTAGATTCTCCAAAAGTTGCTGGTAGGTCAAATTAATCATGATGTGAGCTCCAATAAGGTTTACTGACACCAGAGGGGGCCAGTTTTACAAGAAAGAATGCCACACTCTCCTCCTAAGGATGCCACACATATCCTGGGTACAGTTTCCTTTTAACCTAGAGAAAGGAATATAAACTAGGAGGCTCCAAGTTGGAAATCAAAAAATCCCCCCCCACTGTCATGCAAGAACTGAAGAGTCACCTGACCCCACTCCATCTGCTGCTGAGTCACCCAGTCCCTTCATTGAGCAACCTAATTAGTCAGCAAGGGAATTAAAAAGAATGCTAGGAATTCTTAGGTTTTGGTATTATTTCCACCCCCAGCCCCTTCTAAAGATCATTTTGTCCTTAGAGCCAGTAGGTGTCTCTTACACTCATATGTTATCTTTGGAGGCTGCAATTTATTTTATTGGATACTGTTATTCTAAAATCTATTTAAAACGCCTGAAATTAAAAAAAAAAAAAAAAGAAATACATTTCTGATGTATGTCCTGTAAGTGCTGGAACCTTGCAAAATAATGCAAAACGATTTAGGTTGCACATCTAGTTCTTAAATAGCTAACCAAGAAGTTTCCCTTCCTCAGCACGCTTTTCCTTTGAAAGAAATGAGGCTACCTACTGGCAAATCACCATGATCAGTAAACAGGTTATCATTTGAGAAGCACAATGACAATGGGAACGGTCCATAGGTACCTCTTAAGAGCCTCCTCTCTGCCCTTAGAATGCATGCAGTACAGTCACTCTAGATTTATTTTTTCCCTCCTGAACAAGATGCTCCTGGCTGCTTTCGCGGGGTGGGCATGCAGAGACCCAAGTCACGCGTGCGCCTGCATCAGGCCACCCCCTGCCGGGGGCATGCGGTCCGCCTCAGCAGTAGCACAGCTGTGGACAGCAGGCACTGCGGCAGCCCAAGGACCCGCTTTCAGTTTCTAGGGGGCTGCCAGGCTGCAGGCCCGCGGACCGGGGGCACCAGGGACGGCATGCAGGCGTCCCGTGCCCCTTACCTGCAGTGCTGCATCGCGCCGCCCGGCCGCCCACCTGGACAACATCCTAGAGCATCTTTTCTTCAGCGGGGCCCCACGCTGCCACGTGACGCCTCGGGGCGAGGCGGGAGGTCGGTGCGGGGTCCGGGGAAAGACCCTGGAAGTCCCGGGCGGCGAGGAACGAGTGATGCTCGACGTGTGCAGCTCGCCTGGCTTTCCCCGAAGAATTACGACAAAGAAACAGCCCACAGGAGAAAACCAAATTATTACTGGCTCCGAGCGCCTAATAGGATTTTAAAAGAACAAGCAATAAGGGGATTAGAGTGAAAGGGAAAAAAAAGTAGCGTTTTATTTTAAAACCAGTATTTATCAAATGCAGTGGAGAAATAAATCTACTTTGTGCAAATCAAAATGACGCTCAAGATATAGAATGCATGGACATACTTTGCATACACATTCAATGCTTCAATCGTATATCAAATATATCAAATACTTTAATTCAAAACAGTTGATTATGGAATATTATACTAATTGCACTTATGAATTATACTTTAATTACTCTCGATAGCCGCATTCCAATATCAATTTGTATTTGCCAAAGAAAAAATGGTGCCGCCACATATTTCTACTATTTACTTGAATATTTGCTGATTTAAACTAAAGCACTATTGTGTTTTTCAATTGCCGCATAACACACAAAAAAGCATTGCATGAGCATGATTGTAGTTGTGTCTGTGTTTTCTTAAACCTTCTGACAAGGCATTTAATCTCTCAGACATCAAAGAATTAATTCACAATAACTATTTCACATTTTCTAATTTTTATCACATTCTGAAGAAGTGAGTCATTTACTATCACAGAAAATATGCACAGTGTCAACATTTCGCATTCACAACTGAAACAGCCTTGCCTAGAAAGCCTTTAGAAAATTCCAACTGTGATAATTTCATAAATTTGAAATAGCATATTTCAAACTTAAATAGTGCACATGTAAACTTTTCTTTGGCCAAACCACATAAACGTCTTGGAAATGTAAAAGGACAAAAGCAGAAATTGTTTCTATTTGTATTCTAGTTTCAAACAGATTATTTTTCACAGAAGTTAAAAATCACAATTTTAACATTCCCTTTACTCACACCCCTGAAAGAGATGTGAAACAGATTGTTTTACAGACAGGCTGGAGTTAAGTTTACTTGCTATTTACTCCAGCAGCTTTCCTGTCCTATATTTAACCCTGGCCCTTGTACCACCGTTCCCTCCAGATTAACCAAATTTCTGTTCAGAAGGTTCATCTCTAATTTGAGGATAAATACAGCCCTTGCCTCTCACAACAATCTTGTATTTTCGACAGCAGTTTTTAAAAATCAACAAAGTGGCAATGTGGTTTTCTAGGTCACTGCTCTAGAGTTTGTTTTTCAGAGTGATAAGCAACTTACCTTTCGCTTTCAGATCCTGACATATAAAGTTAAAATGTTACCAAAATCCCCTGCTCCTTGGGGTTGAGGGTCCAAGCGAGGCGGAAGCTGACAAGCTCATTTTCCTGCCACGGGCAATGTCGATTTCAGCCTCAGGCACCGGGAGGGTCGGGTAGGCAGGCTGGAAGCATCACGTGCTCCGCCCAGCCGCTCAGTCCTGTCCCGCCTGCCGGGTCACCTCTTGGCTTCGGAGGCCCACAGTGCCAATGTCGTTGGCCTCCTACCCTCAGTGCATTCGTGTCCAGAGAGAATTCAGCGTCCCGGGACAGGGCCCCACCCTCAAAGGCTGGGCTACTGGGACTACTGTGAATGGAGTTCCCAGAATCTGTGGGAGGTGGGGAGGAGCATATAAAATGCCCTCCTGCGGTCTAAAGAGCAAGGTAGCAGGTACAAACAGCCAGGCTCCGAGTTCTAGCTTGGCTGAGCCAACAAAATACAGGCACCGTCCTCATCCTAGAGCAGTTTTTTTAATAGGTTAGTTCCACCTTCTCTTTTTCCAGGCGATTGCTCAACTGTGAAAAAAAAACGTTACTGCAAACAGGCAATTCAGAAAAGGCCTAAAACTGGGCCATGCAATTTTCGACAGATTGAGATAACTCCCAACGTCCTCCACCCTCACCTATCACGTTGTCAATTTGGCAAAGAGTTTAAAAAAAACAAAACAAAACAAAAACCCGATGAGAATGAAAATTGAGCGGTCTTTCTGGTGGACTGTTTAGCAATTCCTACCAAGTGCCTTACAAATATGCATAATTTGACCAATTACTGTGCACCCCAACAGCAATTGGTATCATTCCCCCCAGCAATTTTATATCCAGGAACTTGCCCTGGGGAGGAGGAAGAAGAGTGCGAAGAACTTACTAGAGAAAAGTTTGCTACAGTATTATTTATGATCTCAAAGCACCAGAAGGAAGTGAAATCTCCCAAAACAGAGCATTTATTAAATTATAACACATCTATACAATGGAAGAATTAAAACTACTATGGTAGTAGCTACTTGTGGATGAAATGAAAAAAGGAAGCTCCAAAAGCATTATGTGCTGAGTGATCCATTTTTTTGTATGTAGGTGTAATATATTTATATCTACATATATACTTTTTATATATGAACAGACAATGATTAGGAAGTGAATTCACTGACGTATCAAACCTAGTATTGCACTGGTTAGTGGGATTAGGGGTATTTAAAATTTTTTTCTTTTTAGCTTGGCTATATTTTCTAATTTCTGACAGGTATTGCTTTTGTAGCAAGAAAAAAGTTATTGTTTTCTTTTTCTCTTCTTTCTTTAGAGACAAAGTCTCACTTTGTTGTCCTCGGTAGAGTGCCCTGGCAGCTTGGCTCACAGCAACCTCCAACTCCTGGGCTTAGGCAATTCTCTTGCCTCAGCCTCCCAAGTATCTGGGACTACAGGCGCCCACCACAAGGCCCAGCTATTTTTTTGTTGCTTGGCCGGGGCCAGTCCCAACTCACCACCCTCAGTATATGGGTTTGAACCTGCTACCCTGGGTATATTAGGGCTGGTGCCCTCCCCACTGAGCCACAGGCACTGCCCAGTTATTGTTTTCTTTTTCTTCTTTTTTTTTGAGACAGAGCCTCAAGCTGTCCCCCTGGATAGAGTGCCGTGGCATTACAGCTCACAGCAACCTCCAACTCCTGGGCTCAAGCGAGTCTCCTGCCTCCGCCTCCCAAGTAGCTGGGACCACAGGCGCCCGCCACAACGCCCGGCTATTATTTTTTGGTTGCACCGCCATTGTTGTTTGGCGGGTCCAGGCTGGGGATTCGAACCCGCCACCTTAGGTGTATGTGGCTGGCACCTTAGCCTGTTGAGCTATAGGCCCCGAGCCAGTTATTGTTTTCTTAAACGACTATAGTAGACATGGTCATGGAATAAACCTTTTGGGTTAAATTTTTTTTTCTTTGCAGTTTTTGGCTGGGGCTGGGTTTCAACCCGTCACCTCCGGTATATGGGGCCAGCACCCTATTCCTTTGAGCCACAGGCGCCACCCCATTTTGGGTTAATTTTTAATGCAGATTTCATTACTAGAAAATTCTCAAATCTTAACCACAAAGCTCCAAGAGAAAAAGTCCTAGTCCTAGCTTATTTGGCCCATAAAAATTTTCAAGGAAAAGGAGTCAGGAACCAGTGTTAATGCTGAATCATGTCCAGTCTTCATTTCTCTTCTGTATAAACCCACTTCTTATTCTGCCCTCTGTGGAGATAGAAAGTCAGCCATTCCCGTCCTTCATGAACAGATTCTTCAAATAGTTATGGAATAACTTTGAATTATAATTTCTCTATACTGGCTCTTAGTTTCTTCACGGATTTCTTTTTTATCCCTTTGAATCTTTTCCATTTTTTCTCTTGATTATCTTTCATTTTTCTACAAATGTCACATAAGGTTTAGAACAGTGGTTCTAAATGAGAAGAGATGTTGCTCCTTTCATGCCAGGGGACACTTTTGGCTGCCACACTGGGAAGGGCACAGCTGTGTTCTCCCAACATCTGGTGGGCAGAGGCCAGGGCTGCTGCTCAACATCCCGCAGTACAGGCAAGAGCCCTCCGCCCATCCCCTGCCCTCACCCCCTCCCTGCTGTGACAGTGAAAGATCAAGCCCAAAATATCAGTAGTGTCAAGGCGAAAAACCCTGGTCTAAAATTATTTGTATGGTGGGAGTGGTGGCTCATGCCTGTAATCCTAGCACCCTGAGAGGCCAAGGCAGATGGTTTGCCTGAGCTGAGGAGGTGGAGACCAACCTGAGCAAGAGCAAGACCTCCGTCTCTACCAAAAGTAGAAAAATTATCCAGGCATTATTGCCGGCACCTGTAGTCCCAACTACTTGGGAGGCTAAGACAGGATGGTTACTCTAGCCCAAGAGTTTGAGGTTGGTGTGAGTTATAATGCCAAAGCACTCTACCCAGGGTGACGGGAGTGAGAGTCTGTCTCAGAAAATAAATAAATAAATAAAATTACTTGTAAAGTATAATTTGATGCCCCAAATCCTCTACTTCCCAGCCATTTTTTTTTTTTTTT